ATAATTTTTTTAATAGTGAATTTTTGTGATATTTCTCAGCAGCAACACTTGTTACATTTCGTAATACAATGTTTATTGCTAGAAATGTATTACTCCGTACATTTTATGTTTAATTATGTACTAATATGAAATAATATCTAAATTCGAACATGTAGAGTGATTTTATTATTTGGTTACTAAACAAATTATATGAAAAAAACATGTGCATATGGAAAAACTTGGGTACGTATATTAAAAAATATTTATAAATATATCCTTATATTTTATAATATTTATGCGTTTCCCCCACGTTTCGTATCCTATATTTTTTAGAAATTGCGTTTCTCGCGTTTCCTGTTTCCCGTTTCCGTGCTACTTTGCCTAATATACGTCCAGCCCGCTATTCTGGTCGTTGCTGGCTTGCTGCCACAATTTTATTGTGGAAATTACAGAGAAATTCAATAATATATTTACATACTCCGTACTACGTAAAAATATTACATGCTTTAGATTCGAGACGGCCCAGCAAAGGCATAATTGCATAACATCTCTAATACTCAACGAGGGAAAAAAGTCAGACAATGGGCCGGGTGCAGTCAGGCGGTCTTCACTCCAGTGGCATCACTTGTTGGGTTGTGATCTAGTGGAACAAAAATACATCAGTTATGGACATTATTTTTATTTTCACAACATAAGGTATTTTTATTTAATACTACTATCTGACACAAGTCACACAACAGAAGTTATCTTTATTTTCCTAATAAAATTATATGTAATTAGATATTTATCTCGCATATGACTCTTATCAAGCTCGAATCTGGATAAATTTTATTGTCTGGTGAATTTAGGGGGAAAATAAAAATGTATATACTATTCTTTTTAATTGCAACATTGATGATTTTTACACTACACATACCCTATTTTAACAACATTTTATTTATTAATGTATGATAAATTAAATTTTTTAAAATATCATTAAATTCTCCTCATTTTAAATATTTAAAATTTGAATTTTTTAACTTTTACTAATATGGAATGAAGTATACTAATGCTCAAACTTGTATGTTAATGGGTCGGATAACTGTAGTAATTCTAGAGTTAATACGTGCACCAAACCTCCGACTTCTGGAAGGGATGCATTTATTAGATAAAAGGTCGACGCGTAATTCACCACCCGATTTGGGCTGTGTTCCCAAACAATCTGACTCTTGGACTCTTAGACAAAGCCTCTTGGTGCGGCAGGGCTCCCTCTCCGAAATCAAACCCTAATTCTCCGTCACCCGTCACCACCATGGTAGGCCACTGGTAGGACTCCCTCTCCGAAATCAAACCCTAATTCTCCGTCACCCGTCACCACCATGGTAGGCCACTGGTAGGACAGGAAGAATCCGACTGTTTAATTAAAACAAAGCGTTGCGATGGTTCCTTCAAATGTTAACGCAATGTGATTTTTACCAATGTTTCTTTTAGGACTTCGTCGGCACCCTATGAGAAATCAAAGCCTTTGGATTTCGGGGGGGGGGGGGGGATGATCTCAAGGTTGAAATTTAAAGGAATTTGCGGAAGCGCATCTACTCATGCCAAGTCGTTGAGGACCATTGCCCCACTACGTACAACAGAAACCGCGCCATTCCAACCGAATGAACCCGGAAATTGAGACTTAACATGCAAAATGCCACCAACAACGGTATGTAACACCAGATCATACTTAAAACCAAAAAATTAGACCAAAAAATTTCAGTCCAAATAAAAAGTCATTAATTGATGAATGATTAAGTCGTTGTTCTCATCAAATCTATTAAGTCGAATGTAAATAGCCCCTAAGTTATCTTAAGATATAGACATTATGAGTGAGTTTTCGATTAATTTCAGGGTCAAACTCGTATGGGCACCTCCCAACAAGCATCAAATGGGAGGAAAATTAGATAAAAGGCGGGTTAAATGTTACATATAAAAATAAAATAAAAAGTAAATTAGAAAATATGTGGATCCTACACATAAAAATTGTGAGAGAAAAAATATTATGCGCAGTACATTGCAAAAAAAATGCTCATATTGGAATCATTGAAAGAGATTATAAATAGAGGATCTAGGGTAGTATTATTGATTACTATGTATATGTGAATGTGAACTGGTAAATTTGTGTAGAACTAAAGCAATAAACCCATTAGGGATAAACCCATTAGTAGTGGGGGCAAACCCATTATTAAAATATTTTGATATTTTACCTATTTTATGTTTACACGGGTCGGGTCCAAAACAGGTCGAAACTTAAAAATCCATATCCGACTCATTTCTCTCTTATGTAACGGGTTCGAATCCGAGTCTGGTAAACAGTTGTAAATTTAGACTCATACCCACAAATAAAGTGCAGGATCCAAATCGGTTCCGGGTCTAGGCCCGACCCATTGACTAAAAAAATAAAGGCCTAGTCTCGCTCATATGTGGTCAGAATTCACGATTCAACATTAGGGGTAGAAGAGGTATAACATATAAAGTACTCCTAATTCGGTATAAAAAATTAAATACTCCTATTTCAGTATATAGGGACCTTCTGACTCAAATTAAAGACCATTTCCTCATATTCAATATCATTCTTCATTATTTTTCATATGGACTTAAGTAAGTTTGGGTTGAAATAGGCCCAACATAAAAAGACTAATGGGTAATGAACCATAATCATTGGTAAGCTTGCTCTTATACAAAATCTGGACTTACAGATGGGGAGTTTATGAAGGAAGAAGCAAGAGGCAATGATCACGTAGGACACACAAAGAATCAGTCCTTTCATGTAGTGTGAGGTTCCATCCTGCATATGCATTTACATTTCCCAAATCATTACTCTACTCAAGTTTGTGATAATAGGAGTGAAGGTCATCTTGAAATAATACTATCATATTTTGTTTTGTCATTACTTATGGCGGTATTAATTTCATAATTATTAGTATTTCCAAATATTGCAGTAATTATTCCTATTTACGCGGAAGAACATAACGATCACATTTCAAGAGGAAGCTAGATAGAGATGGACCTGCAAAGTGAATGCCGTTAGAAGGATGGAGAAAACAAGAGATCCGGTCTCGAGAAGACTGAAATCAAGGTCCATTTTCACCTCCATTATCCACCCCACTACAACACACGATGGAACCTGAGAACCAGACCCCCTCATTTCATCGTCAGAAAATGTTTGGAAAAACAGAGATATAAAAATTTAAAAAGATGTGAAATGATTTTCTTAAAGTCCATACCACGAACATCAAAATTTGAGAAGCAGATCCAAGGGAAACTCCCAAAGAGATATCCTGAAACGAATACAGAACCAAACTCTGACATTAAATTAGAATGATAATGCAGAGTTGTGTTTTACTTCATGTTTATAGATGACACAAGTTTAATAACCATGCAGGATTTTTTTATATAAACTAAGCAAAATAACATCAAAAGTACAAGTATTTACTAACATGGCCTATGAAATTATTTCACTCTTACATAAATGCATAGGTAACTTTATTATCAAGAATAAGGGTATAATGAAAAAGTTATATTGGTCGGACTTTGACATACCAACTTATTCTTGAAAGCAAAGATGATGGAGCCAGCATGTTCTGCTGCATTTCCAACTATGGGTAGCAAAATTAAGCTGATAAAACTCACTGATAGTCCCCACGTATCTGAGGCATCCTGATTTAGCACATATAATCATTCTATTAATTAACTAATTACTAAGGGTTTTTCTAAAATGTGCTTCATTTTCAAGTTTCAAGAAAGGATTTGATAATTTCAAGAAAAAAGATATTGTGATTTATAAGGATTTGAGCAATGTCATGCCGGTTAAGGTGTGGGATTCAAGTATCGGAAATGGCCTCGGCTTGCCCTTATATACCCTATGGTGGGACCTTTCTCTAGATGCTCGTCTTGAAGGTCCCAGTTTCATTGTTAGAGGGATATTTTAAGAAACTGAGTGCATTCTTTGATTCATTACATTAGCACACTTTAGTAATCCTACAACAAACAACAACTTTAACCTAGTTCCGCAAAGGCTCCCACCTACGGTCGGGTAAGGGGGTCGGATGTACGCAGCCTTACCTCTTGTGTTTTTATTATTATTAGCACACTTTAATAATAATAAAAATTAATTAATTAGAGCAGATATACACTTAATCAAAGTAGAAGCATAAAAGAAGGCTTCAAGTATGTTACCTCAATGGTGCCAACAACATACTCAGATAGTAATGCAATGGTGACTGTCATACCAATCAACCAAGCAAATGCACTCCACATTCCAATCACACCCTCTTCTTCGGACACATTATCTTCCTCCTCCTATCATTTACCACCAATATAATTAGTCGAATAAATAAATCTATCTCAGATCTTATAATCCAATAGTAATTGGGAAATGTTCAATAGGTCTGAACTTGACCAATAACAATGAAACTTACTTGAATGTCTCAACTAGTTTAAACAGTTCGCTATGTTTAAGGCTAATCACTCCTGTCTAAGTCTGGTCAGAGTTGGTATCTATTTATTTTACTATATAATCTGAACTGGTGTTTATTCTATTACTATCTTAATCTAGTCTTATGTCTTTATTACTATCTTTATCTAGCCTAATGTGTCTGTGACTGAAACAAGTCAAAGTAAATAGTTTTTAAATCTTCAAGGCTACAACTAATTAATTAATTAACAATGGTCCAATAATATGTGTGTGTGTGTGTTCAAAAAGTTCACAAACCCAAATTTGAGAATGATAATAAACCTAAATTTATAACTCCTACGATAAAAAAGGGCAGCCCATAGCACGAAGGCATCCCGCGAGGATTCTGGGAAAGAGGGTCCCACCGTAAGGGTGTTATGAATACTTTTAGATGAGACTGATAGGGATACGACTACTTTTAAATAGAAGAATAGAAGAAATAAATAGAATAGTTTGTTAATAGTTACTTTCTGTTAATAAATAGTAACTGCCTTCGGTTGGGGCTGGAAGGTTATAAATAGAATAAGCTTGGGAAGGGGAAAGTAGGTTGTTTAGACTTTGGTCTTGGGACTGGGAGATTGGGAGATTAGAGAACTGTTACCTCTTTTCTTTGGGACTTCATTGTATATGGTTTCCACCATTAATGAAGTTGGATCTTGTTTCTTGAATTGTACTCTTTCTTTTCTGTAAATTTCTACAATTCCTGGATTAGCTCTATCAGTGGTATCAGAGCACGTTGATCACTGGATGACTTTAACGCGTGCTAAAATGGAAGGACGTATGAAGGAAGTAGAAAGAAGTCAGCGGGAGATGCAAGCGAGAATGGAAATAAATCTGCGGAAGATGCAAACTAATATAGCGACGATGGTCGCAATACAAGCTAGCATCGCAGATATACAAAACAGACTCCAGAATCGATCGAAGAGCAGATCGCACTCTTCGCATAGGTCGCATCGCAATTCTCATCATCAACACACGCGACACTCAGAAATTTCAGAGAGATCGGAAGAGCATAGGCTTCGCAGAGAAACTGGAGAACGATCGAAGAATATTAGGCATCTTCCGCTATCTGACAAACTAAATCCATCCCCTTCGCTCACAAGTTCGCAAATGGAGTCGCGCACTGTTTCTCCTAGTTCGCAGTCGCGAAGTGTTTCTTCTAATTTCCAATCGCGAAAGACTTCCTCACCGGCTATCTGTTCATGTCCAAGAAAAACGCTATTGAGAAGAGAGTCCTCATCTTCGCAAATAGATTCTCACTTTTTGCCTGCTTCGTCTCAAGTCGATTATCTGAGTTCGCAAGTAACTTCTTCGACGCGAAGAGAAGAACCTCTTTCGCAATCTAAATCCAAGTCTCCAGATTCGCAGCAGGAGTTGGTTATTCAGGAGCAACCGTCCAGGGAAGATACACACACCTATGACAACAAGGAACTCAAGGAGGAATCGTCAGTTAAACTTGAAACTGAAGCTGGTGCAGTTGCTGGATTTCCGATTTTTTCCAAGTACGATCTTGACCAGTCAGATAAGTTCAAGCTTCTTCAGGTATGCGGAATTTCTTCTCATCTTGCACTAAAGATGAACTGGCAAAATGCCTTAAAGTCTGAAATGGTGTATCGTCAGTCTTCAAACATCACGTTGGAAGAATTGAACAAAATTCTTAATTTAAGAATGGATGGGGTTACTTCTACGAAAAGTATTCAAAATGGATTGGGGCATTATGTGTCTGTGTTAAATATGATGCAGGAAAAAGACAGGTTATACAATGGCCAGATTATGTTTATCCACGCATGTTCCTTTGGAAGTAGAGTCTTAATCGCTTATGAAATGGGAGCACTTAAAATCAAGAACATTTCAGATGATAAAGCTGTTCTGATCAAAAGTCAAGAACCTAGACATCCAAGAGAATTGTTTTCAGAAAATTCATACACTGGTAAAAGGAGATATTGTCCAGACTCCAGAGGCTCAAGAAGTCAAGAGGATCGTGTTGATTATTTTTTAGGAGCAAAGAGAACTGGAGCAATTACCTGTTTCCTCACTAGTAACACCCTCTTCAATGGATATGTATCAAATGGTCTACGTATCACTCCATCTGGGAATTTTGTTGATGTTGATCAAAGTAAAAAGTTTATATTGGAGCAGTCCATGATATTGCAAAGAGTGTAAATAGCTTTACTATTGTGCAGACTGGTTTACTTAACGAAGTTGTAAATCTTGTTGAAGCACCTGTGCCGGTACTTGGAAAAGTTAAGGACACCTTCCTAAAGCCTCCAAAAGAATTACTGATAATGGACATGTAGAAGCACCAGAAATACTTTGCAGTGACTAATGAGAATGGGGATTGGCTGCCATACTTCATTACTGTTGCAAATGGAGCAATTAATGAAATGACGGTGATAGAAGGATATGAAGCTGTACTCCGAATGGGGATCCACAGAATTAGGACTGAGGCACTTGGTGCTGAAGGAGTTGACTCTGAACTCTCAGGTACAAGAGGTACACGATGTTGCTCGGTTTCGGTGTTGCATCACACTGGCAAAGAGGTTCAGGGCATGAACATAGATCCTGCTATTGGTGTAGGTGATACACCTCAGTAAAGCATAAAAATATTTGTGGCTATTGAAGGCCTGAAGACTAAGGAAGAAAATGCAACCTCTACAGAAATAATATATGCTGCAGAAACACCTGTGAGTTGTAAAGATCAAGTATTGAAGCTCTTTGCTCAGAAACCAGTGAGATATTGGGAAGGTAGAAGCAACAGGATGAAGAGAAAGCGAAAGATCTTGGTCGTTTCCAATCACCCACCTTGATCAAGGTGGATGTTTAGGAGGGGAGTATTGAGAGGGATACGACAACTTTTAATTAGAAGAATAGAAGAAATAAATAGAATAGTTTGTTAATAGTTACTTTCTGTTAATAAATAGTAACTACCTTCGGTTGGGGCTGGAAGGTTATAAATAGAATAAGCTTGGGAAGGGGAAAGTAGGCTGTTTAGACTTTGGTCTTGGGACTACGAGATTAGAGAACTGTTATCTCTTTTCTTTGGGACTTCGTTGTATATGGTTTCCACCATTAATGAAGTTGGATCTTGTTTCTTGAATGGAAAAACGGAAACTAATAATCCAACCTTTTAGCAGTCTTCTTACAATAGTCCCACCTTTTCGTTATTCAAGAATAATCCAACCTTTACACCCCATCTTCATTCGCTGGTCCTTCACCGGTTAATGACCTGCTATTCCAAGTTATTTTCTTATCTTTGCAAAATATGATCTTTGTGAAAGGCGAGATTTATGGTATAATGGTTTGCAAAGATAAGAAAATAATCTTGAATAGCAGGTCATCAACCGGTCAGGGACCAGTGAATGAAAATGAGGTGCAAAGGTTGGAAAAGGTTGGATTATTCATGAATAACAAAAAAATGGGACTAATGTAAGAAGACCGCTAAAAGGTTGGATAATTAGTTTCCATTTTCCCTCTTGAATTCTACTCTTTCTTTTCTGTAAATTTCTACAATTCCTGGATTAGCTCTATCAGAGACCGCTCCCAAGACTTAAGACCCGTGACCTCTCAGTCACACAGAAACTAGAAACATCTTAACAGGTGTGCCGTATCTCTCCTTCATATAAATCATATGTAATATATAGTTGAAAATCTGACCTACAAATGGGACATGGAGGATCGGATGTTTAAAAGTAGATTTCAATATGTAATTCCCCACTCCAATAGACAAAAACAAAGCTAATAGACAAAAATATCACTTACATGGGACTCTCCAATATGTGAAAATATTATCATGGTCATTGCACAATAAAAAAAGAATACGAATATCATCATAAACATTAGTCATTTCATTTTCATTTCATTTTCATTTACCCCAGTGCCACAAAGGCTCCCACCTACGGTGGGGTAGGGGGGTTGGATGTACGCAGTCTTACCTATGTACTGAAGCACAGAGAGACTGTTTCCGGATGACCCATAGTGAAAATCGCGTCCAAAATTACCTGGGCTGACTGCTACTTCATAACAAAGAAGCGCAGACAGTTTAGTGAGCCATTTTGCTTTATTCCATCATATTCTCAAGCCAAAAAATAATGAATCTTTGGCTCCATTGCAAATGGAAAAATCATAAACATTAGTCTCTAAAAAAAATATGATGTTATAGCGCATTAAAAGCCTCATTTTTATTTGTAATTTTAATTAAATTGTACATTGGTGATTACTTCAAGAAAATCCAAAACAACATCAATAACAGAAAAAAATACTACTCCCCTGCTCCTACTTATCAAGAGGAGACCTAGTATATAAGTTTGATCTATCATTAAAGATTACCTCCGAAGAAGAATCAAACAGCTGTTTGTGAGTTTTGAGTTGGAAGAAGAGGTAAGCAACATAAGTCCCAAGCATGAAAATGCTGCCTGCTCTAGACAGCCCCAAGACTGAACTATCTGTATAATCCGACGGCTCAAAAGAATATCTAAACATCAGCGGCAAAACGAGACACAACAATCCCAGCAACAACATATACATGTTCACATCTGCTTGTTTCTGCCAATCCCATCCCCAAACAAATCTTCACAATAATTATTCAAAATGAGATCATTCTTTATGGTCATCATTTCAGATAGAGAAACTTACTCGGTCAAATCTTTGCTCCTTTTTTATATTGGTCAACCCTCCACATAAAAGAGAGCTCCCAAGAACAAGGAGAAGGTTGGATAGGATGGAGCCTAAGAGGGAGTATTTAAGCACGTGAATCTTTCTCTGGTGAAGAGCAAGCAATGCTATTATCAGCTCTGTTGCATTCCCACATGTTGCATTTAGCAGCCCTCCCACTGCACAAAATTTTTCTTTCTCAAAAATTGTATTGTTAATATTAATAACTAAAAAGATCAGATTTTGGGTTATTTTATACTTACCCGTTGGTCCAATGAAGTTTGCAATTTGCCTTTCCACATTAGACAAGAAAAATGAAGTTAATTCAAGGAGTGTTTGATGATTAAAGAAAATTAAATTTACCACTTTTGACTCATATATAACTATATTAGCCAAAGGTGCACACTATAGTTTGACTTGATTTTCTACTTTAGTTTTTTACATTTTTGGTTCTTTTCCATCACTTGTGTGCAGAATGGCTTAATCTTAAAAAGGACCAAAAGCCACAAGAAGTCCTCAATATTAAGAGTGAGCATTTCAGTTTTGATTTGATTTTTTGGTTTGGTTCGAAATGAGTTGGGAAAACAATTACTCCGTACTAGGTTAAACACCAACTATATTTCAGGTTTGATTCGTTTTAATTAGGTTTGGATTTAGAAAATTTTAAAATATAATAAGAATTTAGTAAACTTTGAATCAGTTTAAACTGCTTGGTTTTATAAGGTTTGAAAAAAATATTACCAAACAAAAATGCCACTCCTAAGCGATATCATTCACAAAAAATGGAAAATATGAATGATAGACACGAACAATATTGTGCCAGACCAGAAATTTTTCCACGGCTAAATAATTTTTTTGGACAATATGTATCAACACTTACTCTGTCAAGAAGCAGACTCTTTCAGCAAGAGGTGCTAGCCCCAGCAAACTCAGTGCAAAAATCCATGGCTAAGAAACAAATAATTAATACTACGGTATTTAAATAAATGAAAAATACTACGTACATTAATAAAAACAAAAAAGTTGTTTTTTTTTAAAGGAAAAAAGTTGTTTTTTCTACTCCTATACTGAAAACTTAGTCAAAGTTTGACAGACAAGTACCATATCTTAAAACTTTGTCAAAGTTTGACCCGGGAGTAAAAACAGTGTGTTGATCAAATTATTACAAAATAGAAAAAATATTAACTGCTAATCAATATATATATATAAAAGAGGAACTTTTTAAGAGCATACAAAGCGCCACCTAATCATGCCATGTCATCCATCATTTAATTTTTTTAATATTCCGTATCTTTTTTTATTTTATTAGATTCTATTTTTGATTGCATATTGATATGGAAACAAAAGACTTTATGATAAAAATCCACCTTATTTGGAAACTTTTTCAAAACCTATTTAATAATTATGAAATTCATTAATTGGAATCACACTTATTAAATAATCAATCATACAAAGTACTTTTTATAAAGTACTTTTATAAGCACGTATAATTTTTTTGATTATTGTTATACTTCTTATTTTTTTTATTACATTTTATTGAAGAAATAAAGTATCTTTGTTTTTCCCACTTAACAGATAAATCAGTTCCTTAAAAAAATATAGATAAATCAGCCAAATTGCTATTTATTTTGTCTTCAAAATTATTTATTTATATAAAAAAGTATTAATTGTGTCCTATTTCCTAAAATGTTACTCCGTATATTTTATTCTTCTAAACTCAATGTTGAGATCATGATTAAAATTTTAAGCTATAGATTTGAAACTGTGTTAATACTTCGTATTTTTCTACATCTTCGTATAATGCTTTCTTAATTATTAATACAATGATGAAAATTATAACCACCAAAATTTTGAAATTAAAAGCGAAATTAGTACTATTAGACATTCATATATAGAATCATATAAAGAGAATACTTCTAATCAAGTAGCTTATCTTTATTATGTAGTATTTAATAAGGTTGAAAGTTGATATCATACATGCATATGTGTGTTCACAAGTTAATACGTTTAGTCTAGTCAAAAGTCAATATGTTGGATTGTTTCATTTCTTTATTTTTACTACGGAGTACCAAATTGAGTTAAATGTAAGAACCTAACTCACTATTAAAATTTAAAAATATGTATTTCATACCAAGTTGAATGAGAAATATTAGAAAAGTATTATTTTGAAATGCTCATTAAAGTAATATAGACGTTCATAACAATTAAAAATCATTTTTCAATGTGACGAAATAATGAGTAAAATGTAAAAACACTCCATTTCTTACATTTTCAATGTAATGAAATAATGAGTCAAATGTAATATCTTACTGTTAAAAGTTAACAGTAAATACTCCACATTTCATACCAAGTTCAATGAGGAATATGAAAAAAATTGAGGTGCATAATAAAA